TTTTATTTGACAGAGAGAGACACAGCGAGAGAGGGAACACAAGCAGGGGGAGTGGGAGAGGGAGAAGCAGGCTTCCCGCCGAGCAGGGAGCGATGGGGGCTCCATCCCAGGACCCGACGATCACGACCTGAGCCGAAGGCAGACGCTTAACGGCTGAGCCACCCGGGCGCCCCACATCATTAGTTTTTGATGTAGTGTTCCATGATGCATTGTTTGCGTATAACACCCAGTGCTCCACGCATTCCATGCCCTCCTTAATACCCATCACCAGGCTAACCCATCCCCCCCTCCCCTCCCCTCTAGAACCCTCAGTCTTTTTTGAAGTTTTTGAATGAACTATTGGAGGAACCCCGGCAGGTCCCAGGGAACCCAGTTGGAGAATCACTGAAGCAGCCTACCGTCCGGGAACGCAGAGACCGGGAGGCCACAGGGCGGTGGACGAGCCGGTCAGAAGTAGAGAAGGTTTCCTTTGCTCCTTGTAATTACAAAACTGTATCAAAACCTGGGACCTACCTTTAGGAAAAGCTGGAATATATTTCATTTTTAAAAGGGAGCAGATAGAAGGAAAAATATTTGTTATGGAAAAGGACATAAACTAGGCAGAGCGGTTTGTAGGGATGGAAGGTGGGGAGCACACTGTCCTTGTCCACTGTGTCCCCGAGATCACTTTGACCCACTGTCCCCCACCGTCCTCTCCCTCCCCTCAGGCCACTAGCCACCCTGCCTTTCAACCACTGTCACCAGCCCCTCCCAGAGGCCCTTCTGTCCAAGCAGATGGAATGAGGCCTCGTGGGTCCCACAGCCTCGCTCCGGCACTTAGCCCGCCCCATCGTTTCCACCCCAAATCCAACCAACTTCATGTTTTGCAGCTCAAGGTAGAGAGCTCCCTCGTTCTGTAATGGCCACCGTAGGGCCACTCGGGGTCCAGCCTGTGCCCTCACCTCCCACAGTGAACGCGGCAGCGAGTCGGGGGGTGATAGCCTGCCAGCCCAAGAATCCAGCCTTCCCGGCCCTGGGAACGCCTTCTACTAGAGCAGAGATGATTTGTAGGCTTTTGCAGCTGCCCCCCAGTCAGCTGGTATAGCTGCCTGGAGTGTGATGTTAAGAAGGATTCTGAAGCTGAGTCTGGGCTCAGCCATTAAAGCGGACCGTGCCTTGAGTGAAACCAGATGACCGACCGACTTCGTGTCTGCGGGGAAAAGAGGGGCAACCAAAAGCACACGGGCCCTCTCTGTGCCATTTTTCTCCTCTACTAAAAATCCCTGCGAGTCTGCAAAGTGTTAAAAGAGAAATAATACTGTGAAGAAAAACCGAAAACAAAAATCAAAGGCCGGTAAAATGGAAAACATGCCTGTCATCAGCCTAAATTTGCACAGCATGCACATCCATATGCACTTAGGGAGTCAGCGCCCCGAGGCAGGTCCCCCTGGTGGTCAGACACACCTTCAGTGTGTCGGGTGAGCGTAGAGACGCGCCCCACAGCCCCTGTCTGCTAACAGAGATAGACACAGGCACCTCAAAATACGAAACTGTCCCACATAAGCAGACAGCAGCCATGCCCACACCCACATGTCTGTCCCACCGGGGGTCTACTAAATTACTGCCTCGGCAAAGAGATCAACTCCCAACCTTTGTCCTGACTTTCCTCCCCCCAGGCAGTACATGGGACCCCCTGTGCTCACAACGCCCTGTCCCACTCCGGGGGCCCCCTCCAGACCATGGACGAGCATGTTACGATAAACCAGAGGGTTTGCCCCTGGAATCATTGTCTCCTGGGGCCAAGCGTCCCAAACTCCTTCAATGATAAGAATCATCTGAGGGACTTGTTGAGACTAAAAATTCCTGGGCCTACTGGCCCGGCATCTCCAGGGAGGAATCTCCCAAGAGGCTGTATGTGCAACAAGGTGGTTGGTTCTTATTACCAGGGAAGCTCAGAAAACTCTCAAGGGGTCAAGTGGATGGGCTCCGGAGGTTTGAGAACTCTCGTATTCAGATCCAAGTGTCATTTTTCCTGGAGCGTCCACACTTTTAATCCCAAAGGGGTCCGTGAACCAGAAGGACCACTGAGAGACAACACTGAGGGGAAAAACACATAGGTGTGCCCTTGACCTGAGGACAGTCCTCCAGGCTGTGGCTCTCATCTTGGCCACAGATCCCTGGTGCCTGGCGTGATGCTGGGCTTGTCTCAGGTGCCCAGTAAATGGTTGCTGGATGGATGAACGAACGAATGAATGAACGCATTTGCCTTGGTGCGCTGGTGCGAACCTAGAGGTACACCTGCCCAGGTGGGCAGGAGACAGCAGGTGTGTGGGTAGGAGCTAGAAGGCTTCCTGGAGTCAGTGGCCCCGCGCCAACATTCTCCCAGAGGCTTTCCTCAAGGGGTACCCGTCTGGAACCCACCCCCAGGAAGTCGCTCTCTAGAAGCTGTGCAAACATTCGGATACTGTGGCCGCCCCCCCCCCACACACACACACACACACTTCCAGGAGCTGTGCCCGTCACGTGGCCTGACCATCACCCCTCCCGCCCCTCCTCCCGCCAGGGCGTGAAGGAGTTCAAGTGCGAGGTGTGCGGCCGGGAGTTCACCCTGCAGGCAAACATGAAGCGGCACATGCTGATCCATACCAGCGTCCGGCCCTACCAGTGCCATATCTGCTTTAAGACCTTCGTGCAGAAGCAGACCCTCAAGACCCACATGATTGTACACTCGCCTGTGAAGCCATTCAAATGCAAGGTACCAGGCTGTCAGGGCCCCCAGGCAGGACGTCCCCACCGGTGGCCCCAGCTCGGCATGACTGCAGCCGCTAACACCTGCCCGGAGCCGGCCTGGCCAGTGCAAGCAGGGGAACCCAGTTCGGGGGTGAAAACGCCCGGGCTCGGTGCTGTGGGTGGGGTGCTGTGGGCCGTGGTGTTCAGAGCTTATACGCTGTTGAGGTGGTATTTTTTGGAAGTTGGGGACGGGGTGAAGGTCCCTGCACAGCCAGAGGGGAAAAAGCCCAGGCGTGGGACTCAGTGTGGTCGGAGAGCCCAGCCCTGGGTTTTTGGTAACTCCAGCTCGGGGAGAGTGGAACAGCGGCCAGCAAGAGTTGGCTTGGGTCTCTGGCTCTCGGGCCTCTGGGGTCACCTAGGAAAGGACAGAGTGAGTGCTGTCCATAGCCAATGGGATTCGAGCCCCAGCAGGGAGGTGGGAGTGGGCTGAGGGTTCAGGGAGGGCAGGCTCCCCAAGAGCTCCTGATGCCGAGTTGGTGTGTTCCCAGGTGTGTGGGAAGTCCTTCAACCGCATGTACAACCTGCTGGGCCACATGCACCTGCACGCGGGCAGCAAGCCCTTCAAGTGCCCCTACTGCTCCAGCAAGTTTAACCTCAAGGGCAACCTGAGCCGGCACATGAAGGTCAAGCATGGTGTCATGGACATCGGCCTAGACAGCCAAGGTGGGTGGGCCACGCACAGCGGACGGCGCAGGAGTGGTCCTGTCACGGCACACTCAGGAGCCTCCTGTCCAGTCAGGGCCGGGGGGAGGCTGGCCAGGCCTGAGACCTCACTGGGGTGGGCTCCGGGCTAGGGGGGAGGTACCCTGGAAGGTGGTCCTGGTGCTGACGATGGGGCATTTATGTTCCTCAGAGGACTTCAGCGGGCTCACGTAAACAGTAAGAAATAAAAATCCTAACTAATATTGATCAAGTGCAGACTGTGTGCCAGGCCTTTATTAACTCACGTGCTCCCCACAGTGAAGTTGGCTCTGCTAATTATCCCCATCTTACAGATGCAGAAACTGAAGGCCAGAGAAGTTAGGTAACTCAGGGAAGATCACAGCACCTGGGCATGGGGCGGGGGGGGGAGGACAGACACTTTTATGACTATGACAGTGACATTTAAAAGAAATGGTTGGCTGGGAAAGGAAGTAACAAAAGGGAAAAGGGCAGGCTGGAGAGATGAGGGAAGCCGGGTGAGGTCGATCCCAACTGTACCATGGGAGGGTCTGTGGACAGCCCGGGGGAGCTCTGAGCTTCCCAGCGGCCAAGGCAAAAAGTGTAATGCAGTCCGTCACACTCTTCACAGTGCTTGCCAAAGACAGTGTAGGCCACGCACTCAGGGGAGGGGCCTCACCTCTGCGGTTGGTAGCTTATAACATCCCTAAGTGTGAGCGATATCCTGTGCCCTCCACACTCGTCAGTCGTGGAAGACCGTTAGTCTCTCTTGCCTTATTGAGGAGAGGAGGGACTTAAGAGATTCTCCTGGAAGAAAGAGCTGATGGCACCTCAGGAAGGCTCCCTGAACGGTCTGGAGCTAGTTGACTGTCTGGCATGTCTTCTCAGACAAAGTAGCAGAGGGAACGATACGGGTGAGTGGACCTGCCTGCATGACGTTACTCGCTAGCAGTCAATCAGATGTTGGGGGATGGCTGCAGGCACCCTGCTTTGGTTTTGCAGCAGCTCACCAGTGAATGGCCTGGGTTTTCTGGCAGAAACGGGTGTCCTCGGTTTTCCGTTCTTGTGAGCAAGGATGCAACCCCATTAGCTGCATAGAGGTGCTCTCTGCAGCCCCTTCCAACTCAAAATGTGGTACGAGAACCAACAGTATCAGGATCATCTGGGATCTTGCTAGAACTGCTGACTCAGCCCTACCCCACACCTCCTGAATCAGAATCTGCACTTCAAAAAAGATCCCAGGGCGATCTGTTTGCACAGTAGAGTTTTAGAGGCATGGGACTAGAGTGGTGGTTTCAAACTTTGGCATGCATTGGAATCACCTGGAAATCTGTTAAAACAAATGGCAGGGCTCCACCCCTGGGGCATCTGAATCTGTAGGTCTGGGGTAGGGTTGCAGAATTTGCATTTCCAGCAAGTTCTCAGGGGATGCCAAAGCTGCTGATCAGGGACCTCACTTGGAGAACCTTTGATCTGGACTCTAAAGGTCTGGTTCTCAAACTTGGCTACGCATCGAAAGCACCTGGGGAATTTTTAAAATGCTGATGCCTGAGTCTCAGCCCCAGAGAGTCAGATGTAATTGATCTGGCATGTGGCCTAGGATCAGCACTTTAAAGCACTTTAGATCATTCTATGTGCAGTAGTGTTTGACAGCCACAGTCTAGCAGACCCGCCATGTACCTAACCCACCAGGAGGGACCAGAGCAGAACTTGTCCTTTTGGAAACAGCTGTCCCTGCACACCTTGCTCCCAGGGGGTGGTGAAGGCACACGCTCTTTCTGTCTGAGGTCAGTAACCAGGGCTGCAGAGGACTGCTTTCTTCCTGACTGCACCAGATGACAGACAGTAAAAGAGTGATTGGCACTTGAATGGCTGGGACCCAAGCCAATCCGCCTCTCGCATATAACCTTGGTCTGAAAAGCTCAGGCTTCACACTTATGCAGGAGGAAGGCAGCGTACATTCTAGATGGAACCACCTAATAAATCTGGGAGGTGGATCAATGTCCTTGTAAAAAATGGTACACTGTTAGCTTGTTTTAGTGTTTAGTGAACTGTATCATTTGAAGGTATGGCACTAGGATTTGAGGAAGGAACAGCCTCGTATCTTTAGGAGTTGGAACAGCTAACCTTGCTTTATAAAGTCAGAAAGACTCACAGTTTGTCAGATGAGTAATAGACCCCCCCCCAACTCGTTAAACAATAATGAAATAGATTCAGAAAGGACTTGAAATCCAGGCCATCTTCAGAGTTGGCTGAGTCAGCCCCTCAACAATGACACCAGGGTGAGGCTCCCCTCCGTCTGTTCACAGCGTTAGCTCTGATTTTCCTCATGGTCACAAGATGGCTGCCATTGTTCTTTAGGGCGGTGTGCTGCTCAGGGCTTGTGCACAGCCAGTGGGACAGTAAGAGCCTCTTCCCTTTGCTCTATAAAAACCAGTGAGAATCGTGTGAATTCAAAGAATTCACAAGCAGCCCTGTCATGATTCACTGGCCTGAATTCATTCCTGACCCACTCGTTGGCAAGGGGTAGAATTGCCTTTAGACCACTGGTTCTTACTGGGGGGTGAGTTTGCCCCCTGGGGACATTTGGCCAAGCCTAGAGACGTTTTGGATTGTTGTTCCTGGAGTGACGCCGGTAGAGACCAGGGAAACTGCTAGCCGTCCTACCGCGCACATCCTACAGCGCCCCCCACAGGAAAGAATCATGGCCCCAAATGTTAGTAGTGCCAAAACCCTGCCTTAGACTTGTCAGGACCACCCCCTTGACTGGGGTCTGTTTCTCCCCAAAACACATCACTTCTCCTAGGTGCACAGGGGCAGAACACACACTGGGGCTCAGCCACAGTCCTTGGCAGCCAGCTTCCCAGGGTCCCCAGATCATCCCCTGGGCTTCCCTCCCTCCCTCGGATGGAAGGCAGCCCCGGGCCTCCTCTGTGGAGCTTTCCACCTGGCTTTTGTTCTGACGCTAAGAACTTTACAGTAAGATTTCAAATTGATGAAATTACGAGAGGCCTCTTGGAGTTTTTGCCTCATGCATCTCTGTTGACCTACCTTGGGTGTTTGTCCTCAAAGAGCAAGGCCTAAGGAGACCACTGGGCAAAGCCGGTCTAAAGCGCTAAGGCTGGTAGGAAGCCAGAGGTTAGAAAGGGCTCCCTCCCGCCCTTTGAGGCAGAACAGCACAGTGGGCCAAAACAACGCACTTGCTGGGCGCCCTTTGGCAAGTGGATTAACTTCTCTGAACTTCCTTTTGACCTCCTGCACGGGATTGCCGTGAGCATTCATGAGACGGTGTATGGGCAGTTCCATAGTTCACATGCTAAGTGAGTGGTGCTGCAGAAACATGACGTACAGCAGCAGGCTTTCATGTGGCCAAGGGGGCCAATGCAAAACACTGCAGAGGATGCATAGGAGGGCTGACTTCGGAGGGCAAACAAGAGTTCAAGGCCAGGCCTGCACTGCTCCCCCCACCTCCCCCAACACACACAGCTTTAGCGCTCAGGTCTGCTGACCCCTCTGAGAAGCCACAGGAGCCTGGGGCTTCCCGGCACAGGAAGGAAGAGAGGCAGCGGAGAATCCTCTGGAAGCAATGACTAGGAAGTCCTCTCTTGAGAAAGGTCCTCTGCTTCCGTGTAGAAGGGACTGGCTCTTCCCAGGAGGCGGCATCCGGGCCTAACTGTGCCCCTCTCTTGCAGACCCCATGATGGAGCTGACAGGCACTGACCCCTCCGAGCTTGATGGCCAGCAGGAGATGGAGGACTTCGAGAACGCCTACGCCTACGCCGGGGTGGACAGCAGCGCCGAGGCCAGCGTCCTCACTGGACAGGCCATGAAGGAGATGGCCTACTACAACGTGCTATAGCGCAAGCTGGGCCGCCCAGCAGGGGCAGGGAGGGCGTGGGACGTGGGGGGAGACCCCGCTGCTGCGGGCTGCACCTGCCGCGGCCCAGAAGCTACTGCCCCACTGTCCCGAGCCCCCCCCCCGCCCCCACCGAGTCGTTTGCACCACTAGGGACTTTTCGACCAAATGGAGACTACTGCTAGCCTCAGCTGTGAACCAGGCACAGGCCCCAGGCATCTGGGGAAGGAAGGAGAGCACAGAAGGCCCAGCTCTGGGTCTCCTTGACCTGCTGCTGCGGGAGGGTGGGAGAAATGCTGGTGGGGGCCATCTGGGGCCAGGTCACAAGGGCACAGGTCCTCAGGTCTCTCCAGGCCCGGCAGAGGGGCCCTGGCACTGGAGGAAGACATAACTTGAGCCTGGCCTTGCTTCCGCTCTGGACCAACTCCTGCCTCTAAGGGATGTTTGAGCTCCTGTGCTGGTCAGCACTGCGCGCCCCCCCCCCCAGCCCACCCCCTTCCCTGGGCTGGAAAACGCCCAGGCCCCAGAGCCCCCTTCCCCACCCTGTTCATCAACAGCCAGGCAGGGCCCTCTGCCTTCTACCTCCTGGTGCCTCCCGAGCTCTCCGGGAGCCAGGCATGCATGCAGCCCCGGTCCTGGCCTCAGGAAAGCGGGGTGTAGCCCAGCCCCCAGCTAGTGCCCTCTCCAGCCAACCCCCCGAAGGCCCCCACCTTCCCCAGTTTGAAAGTGGGTGTCCCTAAAGTGGATTTCAACAGATGTCATCCAGTTCTTTGTTGAACGGGCCACCGCACCAGGGTCCCCCGACGTGAGCAGAGCTGGGACGTGCCTTTCGCTGGGCACACGCTAAGACAGCTGGAAGCCCCTCGAGTGAGGGGCAGGGGACCCAGAGGGGCTGTCCTCACAGGAGGCCAAGGACCACCTGGGGGGTGGCTGGAGTGTTGTATTATTAACAAGTATCCATGTTGAGGAAGTGGACAGCCAAGAGTCAACAGGTTCCCATGAAGAGCAACATAGTTAAAAAGAAAATGAAGACCATAGAGAAAAAAAAATTTTTTTGAGCAAAAGGGGTATTTTGAAGGTAATTTATTTTTTTTTTTTCTTTCCAATTCCGTGTCGCCTATTCTTTTCTGATGGAGATCATTTTCTTTTTCCAAACGGAAGCTCCCTCGTGTGCTGTGCGTGCTTCATGCCTCCCCAACCTCGAGCGGCTG